TATATATATATATATATATTATATATATATATATATATATATATATATATATATATATATATATATATATATTAAGGAACTGGAGCTACCCACCTTGGAATAAAGTAGATTACCTCCCATTTTCCAAACATATATATATTATTGTTATTATTATTATTATTGGTCATCAGTAAAACAGTAGATGTTATAGAACAGCAGGAAAATAGCAAGCAGTCATATTTGAACTGGATAATGAATATAGAGCCACTCCATTGGATCAAGAGCCTATCCGCATCAAGGAGCAACTTCTTGAAGGGGCTAATTTTAGAATGAAGAAATTCAGAACTCTGGTAGATTAACAGTATGTGAGGGACTGTATAAAACGACCTCTTAATGTTAAGTGTCACTGGGGGAAAACTTAAACTTTTACGAGTTAAAAACTATTTTTTTTATTTAAAGTTGACATAAAGGGGCGTCGGTAGGACAAGATAAATTAAATGCTAGGAAAGTTTGGGAAGCTGAGGAGGGGAGGCGAGATTCTGATAAAGAGAAGTCTTGACGGGGGTGACGATGGTCTTGATTCATAATACAAGGAACTGAGGCTGCCCTTCCCTTTCTTGGATCTAACTTGACTAAAGCTCATTCCCTGTGAACCCATTCGCTTTTGGCACTTCCTTATGAATACAGCAATAACAATATTAATAGTAATAATAATAATAATAATACCTCATTCCTATTAACCCTTTGCGTTTAGCACTTCCCCATGAATACAACAGCAATACTAATGATAATAGTAATAATAATAATAATAATAATAGCACTACTACTATTACTACCACCACCACTACTACTACTACTACTGCTAATAATAATAATAATAATAATAATAATAATAATAATAATAATAATGTAGGGTGTAGTATACATGAAGGATCCAGGGATGCTCAACCCTCCTCTCCTGTGAGTGTGAATCGTGAATCTGTTAAATATTTTCACTGGCAGGAGTTGTGGTATTTACGATTTGCCTCATGACCCCACAAACCTTCCTTGAGGTCGCTTAGCACCT